ACTTTCAATAGTTAGAGGATTCATTTTGGTTCTTTTTATTTAAATAAGCTTAAGCTCTGACATGAAAGGCAGCAGGTGATATGCATAATTGTAGTCCTTTTTTCCATGTAGTACTTAAACTTTGGAGTTTTAATTTAGTTATGTTACAGGTTACATTGTGTTTATAGCATGTTGTAAAACTGATTTAATAAAAGGTTTTAATGTGAACACAAGCGTTTATCATTTTATTTATCTATTTTATTATTCAGACAAAATTATAGACAGAGTGATTGGTGGGTTTCGATCAGTTGTGTCCAAAGTCGTCCTCAAGTGCCGGTGTCCTGCATGTTTTCAGTGCTGCCCTGGTTCAACACAGCTGAACCTAAGGAGTGTTTAATTAGTAAGCTTCCTCAGTATGCCACTGCAGAGGCCTACTAATTTAGCACTCCTAAGGTTAGATTTTTCTTTATTAATTTTGACGCTGAATCCCTCGGAACAGGAAGATAGAGAGTTAAAGCGACATAAATGAGTTTATTGGTAATTAAAAGGGACCAATCTTAACAGATATTTTAAAAAAGGAAGCAGAAGCGGTAAATTAATTCTCATCGGCGCTCCTCCTCCTCCTTTCAACGGTTCAAACCTACATGAAAAGGAGAGATTTGAACTTTGAGTAACAGCTGACAGCGACAGACAAGAGATAGTAATGACCCTCAGACACTTTAGTTTTTATCGGCCTTAAACATGAAATGTAACTGGGAAAACTAGCCTCGTAATTATTTTCTCTAGATGAGGGCAAACAAATAAAAGAAACACWATAAAGACGTTTAAAGAGCTTGTTTTTGTTGAACAGGTCTTGATGGCTGTTACTCAGGCTGCGCTCCCGTCYTTCAGCTCCTTCTCCAGCCTCACCACCGACAACATGAAGGTAGGTTTGATCACTTCAAGATGCAATTTCTGCTCTTTGACAGAGAAAAACAGCAAAAATATATTATTTTTATCATGCAGAACAATTCAAACAGTTGGTGTATAAAACTGAGCAAAAAATATGTATAAAAAACATCAGTAACTTATGCAAATTTTGCTTCTTGTAAAAAAACTTTCTTAAGTTTTCAGACTTTTTGGAGATGTTTCACAGTTTTTTTGTTTTTATAAGTTGGCAGCATTTTCATTCATTTTGATGCAGCCTTTGCACCAACACGGCAGCATTCATCTCTTTGGAAACAATCTTTTTAAAGCTAAATACTATTTTTTGTTAAACTCTTATTTTTGGTGTTTTTCATAGATAAAGAAATGGAAATAAATTGTGTTTTTATCACAGGTTACTATCCCTTAACTAAAAGTAG